AGAAATAATTTACCGTAACAGGCTTTAAAAAAAAATCATTCTTGGGATTTGGGCGTCACTGGCAAGGCCAGCACTTACTGCCTTAAGGAAACTGGAAGTGAGCTGCCTTCTGAAATTTCTTCATTCACAGTGCTACAAGGGGGGTGGATTTCCAGGTTTTGCCTTAGCGACAGTAAAAGAATAGTAATATAGTTCCTGATCAAGATGTATGCAACTTGGAATGGAAGCTGCAAGTAGCAATATTCCCATGGCTCTGCCACCCTTGTTCTTCTGGCTGATAGAGATTACCAGTTTAAAAGGTGCCTTGACTGTAATCTATCATGTAGATAACAGACACTGACCACTGCACACCATTGTGCAGGAATTGAATGCTTAAGGTGGTGGTTGGGCTGCCGATCAGGAAGGTTGCATTTTCCTGGATAGTGTCGGGCCTCCCGTGTGTTGTTGAAGCTGCATTCATCCAGACAAGTAGACAGTATTCCAACATATTTTTTAACTTATGCCTTGTAGATAGATGACTGGTTTTAGGGGAGTAAGGATGGGAGTTACTCGTTACATATTTTCGAGCCTCTGAACTGCTCTGTGGCCACAGTACTTAGGTGGTTTGTCCAGTTCAGTTTCTGGTTAATGACAACTCAAAGGATGCTGAAAGAGAGAGAATCAGTGATGGTAATGTCATTGAATATCAAAGAGGGACGGTTAGATTTTCACTTGTTGGATATGGTTGTCTTCAAGAGATAGTGTCAGGGAGGCAATGGCCCTAGTTATTGTCACAAGACTATTAATCCAGAAACTCAGCTAATGAACTGGGGACCCAGGTTCAAATCCTACCATGGCAGACGGTAGGATTTGAATTCAATAAAGAACGGTGACCACGAAACCATTATTGAACCCATCTGGTTCACTAATGTTCTTTAAGGAAGGAAACAGCCATCTTTATCTGGTCTAGACTAGATGTCTGTACTCCACTGCCACAGCAATATGGTTGATTGTCAACTGCCCGCTGAGCAATGAAGAATGGGCAATAAATACTGGCTTAGCCAGAGATGCCCACATTCCATGAGTAAATAAAAAAAAGTCACTAATGAGTCCACACCTGAATGTTGTTCAAGTGTTTTAGAATCTAAGCGTAAAAGTAAAACACTGCAGTTGCTGGAAATCTGAAACAAACAGAGAATGCTGGAGAAACTTAGCAGATCTGACAGTGTCTGTGGAGAAAGAAAGAGTTAACATTTCAGACTGTCATTTATTATCAAGAGTCATCATACTGGATTCGAAATATTAATCCTATTTCTTTCTTCCCAGATGTTGCGAAATATCCTGAGTTTCAGTATCTGAAGAGTTGCAAATGTTACTGAACATGGTGCTATAGTTACCGAATATCCCCACTTATGATCTTTCACAGAAAAAGAAAGTCATTGACGAAGCACGTGAATATCAAGCTGGTCCTAGCATACTGCCCTGAAGAACTCCTGTAGCGAAGTCGTGGAGTTGAGCTAATCAGCCTCAAAACCAAAATCAAATTTTCTTCATGCTGGGTACGGTTCCAACCATCGGAGATATTTCCTACTGATTTCCTTTAACTTCAACTTTGCTAGGGATTCTTGACGTTACAATCTGCTCAAATGCAGCTTTGATGTTAAAACCAGTTCCCCTTACTCTGGAATTCAGCTCTCTTGGCATGTTTTGAACAAGACTATTGAAATCTGGAATCAAGTGAACCTGGTGAAACCCAAAGTGAGTAACAAAGATTTCGCTATCGCATTCGCCACGACAGCATTATTAATGTCATTCTCCAACACTTTGCTTACAATTGAGTGTCGACAGGCAGGATTGTAACTGGCCAGATTAGATTTTTCCTAAATGTTGTGGCCATGGTATACCTGGATAATTTTCCACATTAGTGGCTAGGTTCAGTGTTGCAGCTCTACTAGATTAGTTTGGATAGGGGCTGGATAGCTCAGCAGCATTATTCTCCAGTACCACATCCTGGATACCGTCAGCATCCAACATCTTTGCTGCAGCCATTGTATACTATTTCTGGAAATCATATGAAGTAAGACTTTTAGCTGAAGATGTTTGTGAATACTTCAAGAGCCTCCTCTTTTACTCTGAAGAGCTAGTCTCTCCCCATCATTGAAAACGGAGAGGTGTTTGGAGATGCCAGTGGTTGGATGTTTAATTTTCCACCACCATTCATGACTGGACTGTTACAGGGCTACAGTGCTTGGGTATGATCTATTGGTTGTGGAATTGCCTAGCTTTGTTCAGATTAGTTAATTAGATAAAGTATAATCTATTAAACAGCTTTAATTTCAACGATTAACTTCCTCTACATGAGTACAATATCCATACCTTCTTCATTGCCATTGCTGGCTCAGCAAAAATCCCAAAACAATTTAAATCTTAGTTTATTCTTAACTTGTTATCTATAGCAAAGAGCTACATCTATTACATAAATGTAGTTTTTCATTTCACAGATGGAGAGTGAATGGTATCATTCTAGTATAGGATGGACACAAAAACAAATTGCACATCAGGTTACTTCACACCTTTTCAAATTATCAATAAACAGCAATCAAAACTTCACAGCCAAATTTTAACATGATTACCAATTTGACAATTTTGAAAGTATGTTACTCAGCTATGATAATGCTTCACATATGAAGGCATCTCATTCCATTCTGGACTATATATTTGTGAATACGATTGGCAAAGCCAGCATATACTGAACGCCCAATCGATTTATGGGCAAATAATCTATTTTCAAACATTCTGACCAATTTAGTACTAGATTATTAAACACAAGTTGAGGTCTAAAAGATTAGTGAAATTTTCTACTTCTCTGATTAATTATATTACATTATCTCAGAGTTCAGTAATGAAAACATGGGAGTAGAACCCTGCTGAGCTCTTATTTCTCCTCGACTTCATTTTGTATTAGTTTTAACACTTTTCACTTTATTTTGTAGAAAAATAAAAATGAAAATAAGTGACAATTATATTTTAAAAAATAACCATTTCTTGAAAATCAATTCAGATATGGCCATAAGACATAGGAACAGAGGTAGGCCATTTAACCCATCAAGTCTGCTCTGCCATTCAATGAGATCATGACTAACTTGATGACCCTCAACTCCACTTTCAATCTTCTTCCCATACTCCTTGATTCCCTTACTGATTAAAAATCTCAGACTTGAATACATTGAATGATCCAGTCTCAACAGTTCCCTGCAGTGAAGAATTCCACAAATTCACAACCCACTGAATGAAGAAATTTCTCATCTGTTTTAAATATTTTAGTATTCTGAGAGCATGCCCTTCACAAGAAATATCTTTCCGCAACTACCCTGTCAAGTACCCTAAGAATTTTGGATGTTTTAATCATGTTGCCTCTCTTTATTTGATATTCCAACAAGTATAAGCCCAACCTACTCAATCTCTCCTTATAATTATCACAGAATCCCTACAGTTTGGAAACAGACCCTTCGGCTCAACAAGTCCACACTGACCCTCAGAGAATCCCACCCAGACCCATCCCTCTATAACCCACCTAATCTAGACATCCCTGAACACTACGAGCAATTTAGCATGGCCAATTAACCTAGCCTGCACATCTTTAGATGAAACCGGAGCACCCGGAGAAAACCTACACAGACACAGGGAGATTGTTCAAACTCCACACAGACAGTCGCCCATGGGTGGAATCGAACCCGGGTCCCTGGCGCTGTGAGGCAGCAGTGCTAACCACTTAGCCACCCTGCCGCCCATAAAACAGTCTCTCCATACCTAGTATCACCCTAGTGAACTTTCACTGTATTGCCCCCAATGCCAGTATATCTTTCGTCAGATGAGGAGCCCTCAAACGCTCACAGTATTCTTGCTGATCTGATGAGTGCTTTGCATCATTTTAGCAAAGCGTCTTCACTTTTAAACTCCATTCCATCTTCCCTATTACCTTCTGAACTTGGATGCTATTTTTTTGTGAACCATGTGCAAGGCACCCAAACTCCTGCATTCTGTATCTTTTTGCAGACTTTCTCCATTCCAATAATGTTCATCTTCTCTATTCTTCCTGGCAAAGTGCATAACCTCATATTTTCCAAAATTATATCCCACCTGACAAGTTGTTGCTCACTCACTTAATCTGCCTCCATAACTTTGTAAACCCAGACAATCAGAATTCTCAAGTACAGCTTAGGCCTTTTGGCCCATCAAGTCTGCATCACCAAAGTTAGACTAAATCTGCACTAGTCCCACTTTCCAGCAATGGGTCCATTTCAAGTGCTCGTTCAAATACTTTTTAAAGGCCGTGAGTTACCCGCCTCACCTCTCCTCCCAGGTAGCGCATTCCAAACCACTACATCCCTCTCGGTGAAATTTTTTTTCTCATATCCTCTAAAAACCTGTTGCCTTTTATCTTAAAAGGTATGGCACTTGTGCTTTCAAGTCATTCATATATATTGCATATAACTGTGGCCCCAGCACTGATCCCTGTGTTGCACCACTTGTTACAGGGGACTTATCGTCCTGTAGTGTCATTAGCTTGCCAAGCACTTTTCCTCTAGTGATTGTTATTGGATTTATTTCCTTGCCTCCTTTAGCCCTTTGACTATTTGAGCATTTTGGAATATTATTAGTGGCTTCCACTGTGAAAATTGATGCAAAGTATTGATTCAACTCCTCTGCCATTTTCTGGTTCCCCATTATTATGGCCCCAGTCTCAAGTCTCTAAGCAGCCTATGTTCACTTTGGCTTTTCTCTTCCTTTTTATATAATTAAAGAATATAAAATAAACCAATTTACAAATATAACTGGCATCTGAAATCACAAGTTTTTTCGTGAACATTCAAAAACAAAAGGCTACTTTAGTGTTAGGTGTGAGGGCAATGTGTGTATCGTGACCGTCAAGTATTGAGACAGACTGATGGTCTAGTATTGTCTTTCCTGTCTGTTATTTCTTGCATGTCTGTATTACCCAACAGGGATTTGGTACTTACAAGTTCTGTTAATTGTCGTAGTAACCCTATTTCTTCTGGTACTGATATTAGCTTGTTGTTACTTGCAATTAGAACTTTTAAAGGGAGACTGCAAACATGTCCAGGTAACGTTGTCAGCTGGTTACGACTGTGAAAAGAAAAAGGACAGATGGAGTATTATTACTTGAAAGGCAATGTCAAGCATGGTCTGGAATCTTGCTGTTTTTTTGTGATGCGTGAGAATTAGCAAACTGTTCATGGAACCATCTTCCAGTAAAAGACAGGAAATGACTTGTACTCCTTTCAATATAGTATAGTTAATTGACTGTAAATGACATTTTCCCCTGTTTGGGAGATGAAGCACACATTGCATCATTGCTTTGTGGAACAATCTCTTTCCTTCAACCATTATGATTCTGAATTTCCAGATATCTGTCATTTTCATGTCGACTCCCACTCGAGCCTCTCTATCTTCGCCTTCCCAACAATGATGCTCAACATAAACAAAAACAAAGTTGCTGGAGAAGCTCAGCAGGTCTGGCAGCATTTGTGAAGGAAAAAACAGAGTTAACGTTTCGGGTCCGGTGACCCTTCCTCAGAACTCAGACCTGCTGAGCTTCTCCAGCAACTTTGTTTTTGTTTCTGTTTCTGATTTCCAGCATCCGCAGTTCTTTCGGTTTTTATGCTCAACATAAACTCAGGGAACAGCACCTAATCTTTTGATTAAAAACAAACTACTGATAATGCTGGAAATCTGAAACAAGCACAGAAAATGCTGGAGAAACTCAGCAGCTCTGGCAGCATATATGGAGAGAGAAACACCACAATTCCAATATACGTCTTCTGAAGAATGCACTTAACCGATGAATATTTCCAGCAAATCCCGTAACTTCATAGAACTCCAAAATGTTTCCAGATCAAATGGTAAAAATCTCAAGATGATAATCAAGTGCTTTATCTCTCATTTACACGTTACTGGACATCCTCAAATGCAATACCTCTTTGCACAATTCAGCAGGGGACTGCTGAAGTATTGATTGGAAGATGCAGTGTGCGACTTCCCAGTTATTGATTCTTATCTGTCCCTTGGCTTCCTGTTGGATTTTAAGTTTAGAGGAGATGCACTCCTCATGGGTGGCTGTGAACAATGCTTTGATCATCTTTAACCTTCAACGATAACAAATGCTTAGTGAGAGAAGGCTTGTAAAATGCTTGACATGTCCAAACAGCATCAGAGGAGCAGGAAAGTTGAAGTTTCGGTTCGGGACCCTTCTGAAGGAGGGTCCCGACCCAAAACATCAACTTTCCTGCTCCTCTGATGCTGCCTGGCCTGCTGTAGTCCTCCATCTCCACACTGTTACCTGACTCCAGCATCTGCAGTTCTTACTATCTCTGACATGTCCAAACAGTTCTGTTTCATCGTTCAGATTTTGCTGGCCGTAATGGAAGGGCTTACTTTGGTTATGCAAATATTCCAGCATCAGAATAGATGGGTTTTTTCTCTGCTGAATGCCAGATAGCTTTTCTAGCCAATGGACTAAAGTGTAAATTGTTTGCAGTACAACGATAATCGATAATCGATAATGTATGTTTATCTGCATATTGTTAACTGTTAAACTCTCTCAGTACCCCTACAGAAACGAAAGGATCCAAAAACCTTGCTGTTGTAGAAAACTGTCCAAGCTCTTTGAACTTCATACAAGTGAGGAAAGAATGTGCACTCCACAGTAGTCAGTTAAGTAAAAACTTTGTTGATTTCTAGGCACTTAAATTTAAAATTCTTAAATTGTTTTCCATTAATATCAACAGAGCAAACAAAAATCCTTATGGACTTACAGAAATCAAACATCTGAATCACATAACCAGAAGGTTGTTAAGTAATCTGGGGTTGGAGAAGCACTGGAGGGTGGTTTAAATTCATGTAGCATTGGGACTGGTTCTGGGGAAGATGGGACCTAAACAAACTGGATAGGTTACACCTGGACAGGACAAGGCTGATGTCCTTGGAGGCGTACTTGGTAGACTGGTCGGAAAGGGTTTAAACTAGTGTGGCAGGGGGAGTGGAGACCAGAGGAGTAGGGCAGTAGATGCAGAATTTCAGGGAGAGGTAGAAACCAAGGCAAACACGACTAAGAACAAGAGGAGGCAGGGAAATGCTGCTGAAAAGAGGAGGGGAGATAGTCTGAAATACATGTGTTACAATGCGAGTAGTATAATAGGCAAGGTAGATGAACTTAGAGCTTTGGTTGGTACTTGGAACTATGACATTATTTCAATTACGAAGACCTGGCTGAAAGGGGGACAGGAGTGGCTGCTAAATGTCTCAGGATGTTTCAGGTGTGACAGAAAGGATGCAAAAGGGGTGAAGGAGTTGCATTACTGGTAAAGGAGTATCTCACAGCTGTACTGAGGGAGGATACATCAGAGGACTCGTGCAGTGAGGCAAAATAGGTAGAACTCAGGAATAAGAAAGGTGAAATCACAATGCTGGGGGGTATACTACAGGACTCCCCATAGCCAGCAGGAGACAGAGGAGAGAATATATAGGCAAACTTTGGAAAGATGTAAAAACAGCAGGGTTGTTGTGGTGGGCGATTTTAACTTCCGCTATATTGACTGGGACTCACTTCGTGCTAGGGGCTTGGATGGGGGAGAATTTGCAACACCATTCAGGAGGGTTTCTTTTCACATAGTGGGAGGTTGCTGACTTGCACACCAAGTTGGTTTGTTTTCATTCAGACGTTTTGACACCATGCTAGGTAACATTATCAGCGAGGCCTCTGATTAAGCGATGTTGTTCTACTCCACTTGGAATTTATACTGTCTGGTCCGTTATGGTGTGTAGTGTCATTTCCGCTTTTGTTCTGAATGGGTTTGTATATGGGGTCCAAATCTATCTGCCTGTTGATTGCATTATGGGTTGAGAATCATGCCTCTAGGAATTCCCGTGCGTGTCTTTTTTTTGCCAAATTTAAGCGAGGAATTAGAAGGCTAAAAGGGGTCATGAGAAGTCATTAGCAAACAGGATTAAAGGAGAATCCCAAGGCTTTTTAAGCATACAGAAGAAGCAAGAGGGTAGGCAGAGAAAGGGGTGACTCACTCAAGGACAAAGGAGGAAATCTATGTGTGGAGCCAGAAGAGGTAGGTGAGGTCCTAAATAAACACTTTGTGTCAGTATTTACCAAAGCAAAGGAATTGGTGGCACATGACTTTAGGGAAGGGAGTGTTGAATTTCTAAGACAAATTGCGATTAAAAAGGAAGAGGTGTTGCCCATCTTAAAAAGTACAAAGGTAGATAAGTCCCCAGAGCCTGATGGGATATATCCCAGAATACTGAGAAAGGCAAGAGAACAAACTGCTGGAGCACTGACAGATATCTTTGTATCCTCTTTGGCCACAGGTGAGGTCCCAGAGGACTGGAGAGTAGCCAATGTTGTCCCATTGTTTAAGAAGGATAGCAGGGATAATCCAGGAAATTAACAGGCCTGTGAGCCTCATGTCGGTGGTAAGGAAATTATTGGAAAAGGTTCTCAGGGACAAGATCCATATGCAATGAGAAGCGAATGGACGTATTAGCGATAGACAGCATAATTTTGCGCAGGGGAGGTCATGTCTTCCCTCACTAATTTGAACGAGCTTTCTGAGGATGTGACGAAGATGATTGACCAGGGAAAAGTGGTTGATGTTATCTATATAGAATTCAGTAAAGCCTTTGACAAGGTCCCTCATAGCAGACTGGTACAAAAGGTGAAGTCACATGGTATCGGCATGAGCTGGCAAGATGGATACAGAACCATCTTAGGCATAGGAGGCAGACAGTAGCGGTGGATGGACACTTTTCGGAATGGAGGGTTGTGACGAGTGGTGCTCCACAGGGATCAGTGCTGGAACCGCTGCTGTTTGTGATCAACATAAATGATTTGGAGGAAAACATGACTGATCTAATTAGTAATTTTGCAGGATTATACAAAGATTGGTAGAGGTGAGGATAGTGAGGAGGATTGTCAGAGGATACAGATCAACTGGAGGTATAGGCAGAAAAATGGCAGATGGAGTTTAATCTAGACAAATTTGGGGTGATGTATTTTGGAAGGTCAAGTACAGGTGAAAGTTATACAATGAATGGCAGAACCCTTAAGAGTATTGATATGCAGAGGGATCTGGGTGTACAGGTCCACAGATCAGTGGAAGTAAAAAGGGCATTGAGTGTAAGGATAGGCAAGTTATGCTATAGCTTTACAGAACTTTAGTTAGGCCATACTTGGAATATTGCATACAGTTTTGGTCACCACACTATCAGAAGGACGTGGATGCTTTGGAGATGGAACAGAAAAGGTTTACCAGGCCGTTGCCTGGTATGGGGGATTTTAGCTTTGAAGAAAGGTTGGATAGATTGGGTTTGTTTTTACTGGAACACAGAAAATTGAGGGGAAACCTGAAAGGAGTTTATAAAATGGTGAATGGCATGAATAGAGTGGAAAGTATGCGGCTTTTTCCCAGGGTGGAGGGGTCAATTACTAGGGTCACCGGTTCAAGGTGTGAACAGGGACGAGTTTAAAAGAGATGCATGAGGCAAGTTTTTCACACAGAGGGTAGTGTGTGCCTGGAAAACGCTACCAGAGGTGGTGGTGGAAACAGACAAAATGGCAGCATTCAAGAAGCACCAGGAGAAATACATGAATAGGAAGGGAATAGTGGGATACCGATCCTGTAAGTGAAGACCGTTTTTATGCAGAAAGGCAAAATGTGTCGGCGCAGGCTTAGTGGGCCAAAGGGCCTGTTCCTGTGCTGTACTGTTCTTTGTTCTCGTTCCTCTGAATTTACGCCAACAAAGAGAGAAATTTGTGAGGGGGAGAGAGAAAGTAGAAATTTCTCTCAGGAAAGCAGTTATATGATTTTGTTTCTAGATGCTTTTCCGACAAAATAAGTCATTCACTTTTAAGACTGGTCTTACTTGAGAAAAAAAAACCTATCTTGTCTGCGTCGTGATGGAGACTAGAAAATGCACGTACAATCCATCAATATAAATGCAATATTAAGTGCTGAAGATCTTTTACAAGAGTGTGATTAACTGAAACAATTGGTGAAGGATCAGAATGTCCCAAGGAATTTTTTTTTAAATACTGGGAAGAAACTAAATCCAGCAACCCAGAACATCAGTCATCAATTTGATCTTTGTTTACAGAAACATATTCTTCTTTCTGGTTCAAACGGATTCAAAAATAAAAGCAATGCCATCCAAACAATGAGGTCACCCTCTGCTACTTGGAATCTTTTATTCCCATGCAGTCTCTTTGTTATTATAGATAGAAATATTATTAAATAGGATGATGTGGTTACACATGATGGGTACAAGAATCTGCTTACGTGTGGTTAATTACAGAATCTCAGCATTGTTATGGTGCGACCCAATCGAACCTGCACCTGCTTGATTGTCTACTGCCAATCTCCTGCCTTTTCCCAACATTCCTTCACAACATGACATCCAAAAAAGTACCCAATGCCTCCTTTAAAGCCTCAACTGAATCTGCCTATAACACATTTCCAGGTAGGGCATCCATACCTGAACAACTTGCTCTATGAGAAAGTTTCTTTCTTCCCCTGACAATACCCTTGCTTTGTTTGCACATAACTTTAAATCTGAGCCTTTTCGTTAATTGCATTATTTTAAACAAGAATGATTTTTCCATACCTGATGTTTAAGAAGGTTAAAGATTGTAGGTTTAAAATGGCTTCTGGAATACTTCGTATACAGTTCTGATAGAGGTTAAGGCTCTCCATTGACACAAAGTAACAAACTTCAGCTGGAATCTCTACCAATCGGTTCTTGGATAGATCTAAGAGATGAGGAAAAAATCCACAGAGAAATTACTGCAGTTGAATCTGGGGAGCATCAAAATTGGTGACTAAAATGAATAGGTTGCTAAACTAGCAAATTCTACACGGATAGCACAATGTTGCACAACAATACGCACAATAATGTAAAGTAAAAAGATGAATTTCAAGTAATTGCATCTGATTTAGCAGGAGTCACTAGACACAGCCTAAAATCAATGACAGATCTCATGCAATCCATTAAAAGCTTTATACCATATGTACCAGTAACTTTACTTTCTAGCATTTCTTTCTGAAAATAGTTAGTTTCTAAAAAACACTGAGGTAAGTTCTTGGGATTGAAACAATGAAAATGTGATATTAAGTGCACAGAATGGCTGAATGGCAAAAAGACAATTTACAAGATTTAGAGGAACAGAAACATTTTACATCGATACTCCACAATTTGCACACGGGTTGAGATTCAGGAAAAAAGGATTTATTTTTCATACTCTGATTTAAAATCTGCACCGAGTCCATACCTTTTTCAAAGATAACATTACCATAAGTCAAATATTTTACCTAGCACCCCTCCCATGACATTGTTGAGAGTCCGATGTACTGCTGTCCTTCGTAACTCTCACATTCTACTTTTAAACTTTAGGAATTTTTTTTCTCTCCATCTCCCTTCTATATCTCTTTTTATCAGCCCTGATTTCTCTCTCTTCCTCTCGTTATTTTATGCAATGATTTATAAACCAAAAACTCGTAGATTAAATCTAGAATCTGTCAATTTCTTTATCACAATCTATGAAATTCTTATTTTATGTATCTAAGTGCTTTGTTGTAATTGTCTACCATCAGCGTATCCTGGATGACTGCATATATGCGTGAGCATGCTCTCTGTCCAGGATGTTTTTTCTAAGATTGACTTTGCCCACATGATTTCTCCCTCTTGCTCGGTCTGTCAATGTTCTGCATTTTTTAAAGTTCCTTTTACTGTTTAAATGACAGGTCTTCACTCACTGGTCATGCCTTGTATATGTAGCACAAGTATTGTTTCTCTTTTCTTTTATATATTCCTTGCTATCTGTTTCCTTCTTGCTGTTCCCTTCCCTAGCTGCTCTCCTCTAATGTTGGTGGGTTTCTTCGTAATCCTAGGTTGGGCTGTGAAAAAAGGTTGCGAATGAACTTAGGGAAGAGGAGCAAAAGTAGACATTTGGCACCCCAAGCCAATTCTTCCATTTACTTTGATCATGATCCATTTCTACTTTCCAATGCGCACCCCGTAAAGAAAGGAAATAGCTGGCTTGCTGTTAGGAGTAAGCCTGAAGACAGAAGGTAAGGCAGATCTGAAATGATATGGATGATGGGACCAGAAGACACTGAAATATAAGAAGAAAACAACAGTTGGGAATTGCCAGGTTGGGAGGTCAGTGGCAAGAAATGCTTGCTTTGCTGTGACAACTATGAACAGTCAGAGACAATGACAGAAAATGTTCACATCAGCAGCAAAGGCTGTTTGTGAATGTAATAGCAAGGGATATAAAAGGGGGAAGAGACAGTAATGCCTCACTGGGGTACTGCACCAGGAATCAAGCCCAGGGTGATCACAAAATTTATAGATTTTATAGAAGAATACTAAATTCCCCAAATTACTCATTTTCTAGATTAAGACTGACAGAGCATAGTACAGAAACTTAACAAGAATAACTATTCAGGATAAATATATTGAATCTAGTTAGAGATAGATAATTACGAACTGTTGACACTCAACTCTTCTAGTTAAAAACTCCACAAGTTAAAACTCTAACCCTTTTATCAACTCCTCAATTCACACATATAGGAAAAAACTGGGTATAATGGATAGAGGGAAACACTAGGAAGACAGTTTAATGGTCCCTGTTCAAAGGGCTTGCAGAATGGTCCTCACGGCTTCTCAGGAACATGTTGTTCTTTGATTCTTCTTCTCCTAAAATTTTCACTTGTTTGCAGAAGGCACAGGGTGGCTGATTCATATATAAAGGCTCTAGTTTATGGGTTAACAGCCACAGCTTATAGCAACTGCTGAGAGGAAAATAAACTGGTTTCTTCAGGTTTAAGGTAGCTTTCAACTGTGGAGCAGAATTGTATTTCTTGGCTTTGTAGAGATCCAGTTCATCTGCAACCAAACTTCCACTGCAGTATCAGCAGCACTTACAATAGAGATGTGTAGGATAGGATTTCGACAGAATGAAAAACAACATGAGTTGGGTGAAGAAATATCTGTAATATATAGAGAAATAAAAAGGAGTGAGTTTTGGCCAATGGTGGCTGATGAGGCAGAGACAGAAGGTGGCAGAGATAGAGGTGGCATTCAAAGTACCTTTCAAAAATTAAGGCAAATAGATAAAACTAAAAATACAATTTAACTGCAGAAAAAACGGGATAAAAACATTGGACAACCCTGAGCAAATGATATTATCTGTGGTACATTAGCAATGGGAGCATAAGTAGAGCCTCTCATATTTCAATCATCCATAACATCGTGGGCAACATCAGATGACGCAAAAGGCAATATTAAAAAAAAATTGAGTGTGCTAGTTATTTTGAACAAATATCACGTCTTTATTAATTCCTATCATATAGAATATAAGCTGCTGAGGGCTGCAGTGGGATTTAGAAATTTTCATGCACCCTTCTATGCTTGCACTGTTTGTTCTCTACTAGGATACTGCAACTTCCATGAATGGTGTTGAGTTGCTTGCATTCTTCAGGATCTGCTTGTGATCCTTCTCAATTATTGAACTACTTTGGACAATTTCAATTTGCAGCTGAAATCAAGGTAAAGAACTTACAAAACAAATTCACAAAAACTTATTTTTATAAAACAGAGAATAAAGATTTGACATATCAAATATGAACTCATCCAATAGTGGCATGAGGTTCTGACTTTAGGCTGTGCGATAAATTTAGCACAAATGTCAGAAACGAATAGAGCAACAGAGTGGGGCACATCAGAAATACAGAGATAGTAGGAACTGCAGATGCTGGAGAATCCGAGATAACAAGGTGTAGAGCTGGATGAACACAGCAGGCCAAGCAGCATCAGAGGAACAGGAAAGCTGACGTTTTGGGCCTAGACCCAGAGATCAGTTTTGAGGAATATCCTTAAAGGAAAAAAGGTGCAGAGGTTTTGGGGGACGGTAGACATATTCTTGGGTTTTAGACCTTGGCAGCTAAAGGCATAACATCAATGGGGCAATTTAAAGTTTTGGCAAAGATCTGTAGCTCAGTTGTGGATGAGCTTGTTGACTTGCTCGCCGAGCTGGCTTGTTTTTGTTCAGACGTTTTGTCACCATGCTAAGTGACATCATCAGTGGAGCCTCCGATGAAGCAATGTTATTCTACTCTGCTTGGAATTTATACTGTCCAGTCAAATCTTTATTCTCTGTAACGGTGAGTACGGTCATTTCTGGTTTTAATCTGTATGAGTTTACATATAGGGTCCAATTCTATATGTTTGTTGATTGAAGTATGGATGGAGAACCATGCCTCCAGAAATTCCTGCGCGTGTCTATGTTTGGTTTGGGCTACTATGGTTACTTTGTCCCAGTTAAACTGATGGCCTTCATTGTCTGAATGTACAGATATTAAAGGAGAGTTCATCATGCCATTTTGCTGCTAGCTGATGTTCATGTTTTCTGATGGCTAGTTTCCTTCTCGTCTGACTGATGTAATGTTTGTGGCAGTCATTGCATGGTATTTTGTGAACCACATTCGTTCTGCATGTTGTGGGAATGGGGTCTTTAATCCTCGGAAGTGTTTGTCGTAGAGTGGCTGTGGGCTTGGGGGCCACCACGATTCCTAGTGGTCTTAGGAGTCTTGTTGTCGGTTCTGATGTGTTCCTGACGTAGGGCAGTGTGATCAGTGTGTTAGGTCATACTGTGTCCTCCTGTTGTTGTCTGTTTTGTAGGCATCTATGGATGAAGTTGCGTGGATATCCATTTAAAGCGAGAATCTTGTATAAGTGTTCTTCCTCTTCCTGGCGTAGTTCTGGAGTGTGCAATGTGTCCTGGCCCTTTTAAATAGTGTCCTAATGCAGCTTTGTTTGTGGACGTTGGGGTGGTTGTTGTGTAAGTTGAGGATTTGATCTGTATGGGTTGTTTTTCTGTACACTGAGGTTTGGAACTCCCCATTTGTCAGTTGTTCTACTTCAACATCCAGAAACAGAAGTTGATTGTTGGTTCCTTCTTCCCTTGTGAATGTAATCCCTGTGAATACACTGTTGATGAGATAATGGGTCTCTTCGAATTTGTTGCGTTTAATAATGACAAACGTGTTGTCTAAGTACCAGATCCACAGTTTAGGTTGAATGCGGGGGAGGGTGGTGTGTTCTAGTCTTTGCATGACTGCTTCTGCGATGAGTCATGAGATGTGTGAGCCCATTGGTGTACCGTTGATCTGTTTGTATATTTGACCATTAAAGATGAAGTGTGTGGGGAGGCAGAGGTCTAGTTATTTACGTATGTTGTCCTTGCTGATGGAGTTGCTGATCTGCATTGCTGTTTCCTCTAGTAATGTGGCCACTATTTCTTTGGCTAGTGGGATGTCCATTGATGCAAATAAAGCTGTGACGTCAAAGGATACCCTAATCGCGTTGTCGCTGATTTTTATGTTCTTCAGGGTATCGAGGATATCTTGCGTTGAGTGGATGGAATGGGGTGATCCGTCTACTAGGTTTTTCAATCTCTGTTGTAGGTCCTTGGCCAGCTTGTGTGAAGGTGTGCCTGGTAGGGAGACAATGGGTCTGAGAAGGATGTCTGGTTGCTGTACTTTAGGCAGTCCATTGAAGCGGGGGGGCGTTTGTGCCTTCTGGTTTCAATTTCATGAAGTCTGTCTTAGTTATCTGCCCTACATTCATTAGTCGCTTCAGTGCCTGGGTGATCCTATTACGTAGCTGCGGTGTTGGGTCTATCGCTACCTGTTACTAAGTGGCTGTATCTGCAAGCAATGTCTGTGCTTTCTTAACGTAGTTTGGTTT